TCAAATCCGCTTAGATGATAGATTACATTACACGTCGTTCATTTCTAATCGTGCTCATTTCTAAGTGTGCTCGTTTCTAATTGTTCCTGGCCCCCTAGTGGCCAGGAAGAGGCCCAAGATAGAACAATTAGAAATGAAAGGATCTTGGCCCCCCGGAAAATCAAAGAACGAAAAGCTGTCGGAGCATGCTGTGGTCGGGCACCTCTCGGGCGGCGAATGCTGCAAAGGCTGCCGCGCCCCGCTGCCGTCCCCCCGCAAGCCCCTGCTACCCACCCCCAATGTAATCAAGCACCCCCAGGACGGCCCCCAGGACTCGGCGATGGACAAACCTCCCTTCAATAAACCACTCTCTCGTGAAAACGGCCTACGACCGGAACCGACGGACCTGGACCCGAAGGACGGCCGCGATGCCCTCTCGCGAACCGAAATCGGCCAATTCGCAAGTCGACGTGTCAGGGAAGGAGGTGTATCAACCTCCGAGAGACCCCGAGAAGCTCCCAAGAGGCCCCCAAGAGGCTCCCGAGAGGCGCTCAAGAGGCCCTCAAGAGGCCCCAGGAAACTTACGGGAGGCTCCACGAGGCCCCTCCTCCAGGCTTACAAGAGGCCCCCACGAAGGCCAGACCACAAAAGAACTCCAGGAGGCCTGCTGCTTCTCCTCCCCCTCCTCCTCCTCCTCCTCTTCCTCCTCCTCCTCCATCCCTCTTCCTTATAGATCACTCCCCCCTGTCGCACCCCCAGACGTGTCGGTAGGACGGGCCAGGCATTTCGCCTGAGACTTCCTCGCCATATATGATCCTGAAGCTCGAAATGTGCAAGAACTTCACAGATGGAGGCAGGTCGTTGTCAAAATGCGGCTCTCGCCTTAGGCTGCAACAGCTTCGCGGATGGAGGGCGGGTGTGGTATCCAAAATGTGGTTCTCGCCTGAGCGCCGCGGCCAGTCGTCGCAAAAGTGTTCAACAGCTTCCAGAATGGAGGGCGGGTGGTTTTCAAAATGTTGTTCTCGCCCTGGCACCGCGCACATGCATTTCAAAAGTTTGTAATAGGTTCGAGGATGGAGGGCGGCTCCTTTTTCAATATGTGGCTCTCGCCTTAGCGCCGCGCAAACCCGTCTTCAAGAATTCGCGCAGTCGAAGTCCCGGAAATTGTGTTCTCGCATGATTCAGGGTTGTCAGGACCTGACAGTCACGTTGATTCGCGGTGTTGGAGTCCCAGGAACGGCGTTCTGGCACGATTTCGGGCAACAGTCACGTTGATCCGCGGTGCTGAAATCCCAGGAACTGTGCTTTGGCACGGCTGAAGGTTCTCAGACCGTTGCCTTCTAATGGGTCACTTCCCGTAAGGAAAATACATTCCTTCAGGGGTACATGAAAAAGGAACCTGGAGGGAGGGTGTATTGAAAAATCGTTTATTCGTCTTGGGTTTACACTGGCCCCTCTTACTCCTCCGTCTCCAATAACTGAGCATGTTCTTAGGGTGGAGGGCTCAGGGTGAAAATCATACGGTCTTTTGCCCCTCGGGAATCAATCCGTCGTGCGATTCACCGCTTGCAGATTCAAGCCTCGAAAATCTATCGAAACGGCATTTCAGATGTCACCCTTAGCCCTCCACCCAAAGAAAACGCTCGGAATAAGATGCGCTCGTGACGCTCACACTGTACGCGCTCTGGACATGCACCCCGTGAGGAGAGAGGAATCCACGTTCAGAAGCGAAGCGGAGGCGTGCTGAGCAGCAGCGTTTCTCGATTGCGCTTTCCATCCGAGCTCTCCTCCTCTAGCTCATCATGACACACATAAACCGCCTAACCACCATTTGCACTTGACTCGCTCTGGACGTGCACCTTGCGAAGCGAGCGAAACCATATCCGTCCTGGTTATCGCCCAACAGCTGCTCTCTCGAACTAGGCGCCTCGCGCCCTCTTCGAGCGCCTTCCGGCGCGCCGTCAAAGCCTGCGCAGGACATAGAAAATGGTTAGACAAGACCCACGTTCGCGGATCGTCTCTACGGAGGACTGGCTCCGGAAGGCACGCCAGCATCCACCTCAGAACCTCGCGGCCACGCCGCTGTAGGGATCAGGGCAGCTGGTCAACACTGCAGTCTCAGCCCCCAGCAAATGCTTTCTGATCGCTGTAGGGAAACAAGGTGGAGAAGCGCCACAAACTGTCAGGAAGAGAAGGCAGAGGAGGAGCGGGACAACAGTGAAAGAGAGCAAGACAAACACACACGAAGGAGAAGGACATCCGACAGGGAAAGCGGTCGGGGACGAGAGCTGGGGAGGGCGAATGGTCCCACCAGTGGCCCTGACAAAATTCTGGAGGCTCTGGAGCTGGCAGAATTGACCGGCGGCCCCGATCCGTTCTGTCGCCGCGGGCAACCAAGCCGAGCAGCCACGCCGCTCCCATGGCACAGATTTCCACCGGGAAGCTCGGCAGAGGTTGCCCGAGGGCAAGCGGCTGCTGCTTCTCCTCCTCCTCCTCTTCCTCCTCCTCCTCCTCCTCCTCTTCCTCCTCCTCATCCTCCTTCTCCCCTTCGCAGACGCGCAGCGGCCTCCGCGCTGCGCGGCCATCTTGGGGGCATGGCATAAACACAAAAACTCGGAGGTCCGCGCGCAGTTCTCGGATGCGTACAGTCAAAAACCCTAATAAGGACGCGCGGTAAGAACGCAAGACCCTTGGAAGCCGAAGTTGGGATTTCTGAGGCGGCGGACGACGAACGCCCCAAGGGTACCCTGACAAGCAGGCAAGCGAAAGAGGTCAAGGACGAGCCGTTGGTCATTGTTCGTTCCCCGTCATCTGCCACTCACTTTGAGCGCAAGACGCTTCGAACGCAGCTGCGAAGCAGATGGTGAAAGCGCACACCGTCGTTTTCCCCACCCTGGTGCACGAAGACGCTCTGACTCTAGAAAGATGAACTGACTGGGTGAGAGCGAGCGAGCGCCCCTCCGCAGACATCCGACGCTTCGATTTGTTCGACGAGTCGACGATGTAGGCACCCGGACCCCTCGACCACTTCCTCAGGGCCAGCCTGCTATCCCGAACTGTATTGTTGACGGCCCCTGGCCCCGAAACTGCCCTTCTGGGGGACAAACATGGGGGCAGGCCGCGATTTTGATACGAGGCGCCGGATGCCTGGGTTCCTCCCCCGCCTCCACCGCCTCCGCCTCCCGGACTGCATCCTCTCCCTCCTCCTTCCTCCCGTCCTTCGTCATCCTCCTCCTCCTCCTCCACCTCCTCCTCCTCCTCCTCCTCTTCCTCCTCCTCCTCCTCCCCCTCCTCCTCCTCCTCCTCCTCCTCCTCATCCTCCTCCTCATCATCCTCATCTCATCACCACCACCATCATCACCATCATCATCAGCATCAAGATCATCATCATCATCACCACCACCACCACAATCATCATCATCATTATCATCATCATCATCATCATCATCATCATCATCATCGTCCTCGTCCTCAGCCTCAGCCTCAGCCTCAGCCTCATCCTCATCCTCCTCCTCCACCTCCTCCTCCTCCTCCTCCTACTCATCCTCATCCTCATCCTCATCCTGATCCTCAGCCTCCTCCTCATCATCACCCTAATCCTCATCCTCCTTCTCCTCCTCCTCATCATCATCATCACCACTCATGATCATAATCATCATCACCACCACCACAACCATCATCATGATCATCATCATCATCATCATCATCATCATCATCATCACCATCATCATCATCATCATCATCATCATCGTCATCATCATCAGCAGCAGCATAATCATCATCGTCATCATCATCATCATCAGCATCAGCATCGTCGGGGTCGTCGTCGTCGTGTTTGTCGTCAGCATCATCATCATCATTATCATCATCAGCATCATCAGCAGCAGCATCAGCATCACCACCAGCATCACCATCGCCATCAGCATGAGCATCAACACCATCACCATCACCATCATAATCAAAAACACCATCACCATCACCATCACCGTCACCACCACCACCATCATCACCACCACCATCATCACCATCACCACGGCCATCATCATCACCATCACCAACATCATTACCATCACCATCACCATCACCATCATCATCATCAGCAGCAGCATCATCATCAGCATCAGCATCAGCATCATCATTATCATCATCAGCATCATCAGCAGCAGCATCAACATCCGTATCAGCATCATCATGAGACTCATCATCAGCAGCATCACCACCGTCAGTCGTCATCATCAGCAGCAGCAACATCATCATCATCATCGCCATTGGTATCATCATCAGCAGCACTACCATCACCATCATCATCATCATCATCACCATCATTACCACCACCACCATCATCGTCACCATCATCATCAGCAGCATCAGCATCATGACCACCACCACCAGCACCATTATAATCAGCATCATCATCATTATGATGACCACCATCACCATGACCATCACCACGACCACCTTCATCATAATCATCATCAGCAGCATCATTACAAACATCATCATCACCAGCATAATCATCGTCAGTATATCATCTCCATCGTCATCGTCATCGTCGTCATCAGCATCATCATCATCATCATCATCATCATCATCATCATCATCATCATCGCAATCATCATCATCAGCAGCATCAGCATCATCATCACCATCAGCATGACCACCATAATCAGCAGCAGCATCATCAACATCATTATCAGCATCATCAACATCCTTGTCATCATCATCATTATCATCATCATCATCATCATCATCATCATCATCATCATCATCATCATCATCATCATCATCATCATCATCATCATCATCATCTACTTCATCATCATCATCGCCCCATCTACTCTATGCCCCCTGCCCCCCCCTTATTATCCTAATCCCTCACCCCTAATCCCACCTCCGTCGTTATCCTGATCCTCCGCCTCGGCAGCGTTACACAACAGCCATCACGCAACACCCGGAAACTCGGGTGCAGTGGTGCAGTTCACTGGGCGACATATCAGAAGCTGGAGCGCTTGCATTTCAGATCAGAGGCTGGCGTACCTGCAGCTCTCCAATACGCGCACCTCGCGAGGAGAGCAACCACAACAAACAAACAAAACGAAGAATGAGGAGGAGGAGGAGGAGGAAGAGGAGAAGGGAGGAGGAGGGATGGAGGGAGGAGGAGATGGGAGGACGGAACGGAGGGAGGAGAGAGGAGGCAGGATGATGATGCGCCCGTCGGATGTGGAGCGGATTTGGCTGCCACAAGATTTCAAGAGCAAGAGTTTCATGTTCTGTCGTCACGACCCAGGTTGTGTCACGAATCGGTTGTCGAATTCCACAGAACGTTGGGGTCCCACGCACCCGCTGGATTGAAGCGGGAGGTCCAGCCCGACTGGTCCCAGCGGTGGACCTTGCCACGTATAGTTCTAGAACAAGTTTTGGAAGACGTGCTGGACGCACGCATCCAAATGCTCCTTTGCGAGTTGAGCTGGTTGTGGTCTTGTTGGCTTGCCGCTCTGGCTGCACATCAGTTTGGGAGTCGCTGTAAGTGCGTGCCAGCCGCCTGCTTGACAGCGCAGTTCCTGCGTAAGCCAGAATGCTACGTCGTTTCGATCGGCTCGCAACGAAGCCGAAGCACCCACGCGACAAGCCTGAAATGCATTCCATTTAAAACGACTCTCTGTGACCTGGCACGGGGGCCACCACGCAAACCTGACTCTAGTGATACCTCCAACAACATCGTTGAGTTGCCGTTGCCTTCTATGGATGAGGACGCAGCTGGATGGCCCTCTTCGACAAAAACAGCCATTTCTCCAAAGGAGGGAGGAGAAAGGGGGGGAGGAGGGGAAAGAGTGAGGGAAGGAGAAGGAAGGAGAAGGAGAAGGAGAAGGAGAAGGAGAAGGAGGAGGAGGAGAAGGAGGGCGCGAGGGAGGCACAGCGTAAAAATGAGAGGAGAAGAAGGTGCGGGAAGGTGAGTGTACGGGGGAAGGAAGAGGAGGAGGAGGAGGAGGAGGAGGAGGAGGAGGAGGGGGGAGGAGGAGGAGGAGGAGGAGGAGGAGGAGGAGGAGGAGGAGGAGGAGGAGGTGGAGGAGGAGGAGGAGGAGGAGGAGGAAGAGGAGCAGGGGAGGAGGAAGAGGAGGAGGACGAGCAGAAGAGAAAGAGGAGCAGGAGATGCGCTCCCGCTCGGCGGGGAAGGGTGCTGGCTGGACGGGGCCACGACGCGACTTGGGAAGCTCTGAACCAGCCTGGAACGGCTGCTGCAAGGAGGGCTCAAGACGCAGGCGTCAGCGGCGCTGCTCTGCACTTACGCCGGCAACGCCATCCAGCACCACCTGCAGCTGGCCCTGGCCTCGGAACCCGAAACCTTCCGCCCCAACGCCGCGCTGAGGGGCTGCTGGGAAAGCCTAGTGCGACGGCCTCTCAGCCTGGAGGCGTGCGACTTGCTGGGCCTACCACCCTACTGGCCTACCTGGGCGGGACAGGAGCGCAGCGGGCGGCCACGAGGCGCGCGGCTGCGTTTCCGGCGGCAACAGTCCAGCACGGTGTCTCCAGCATCTTGCAATCTCGGAGTCATGCTGGCGGCCCCACCCCACGCTGCAGCCGCGCTCGAGGCGACCCGAGCTGAGCTGGCGCACCAAGGCTCCGACATTGAGCCAGCTGGGCCCTTCGAGGCCGTGCTGGGCCACCCGACCAAGCAGAAGACCTTGGTTGCTATGGTGCATAAGAGAAACCACGCTGCTGCGAAACAGCAAATGCAAAACTGCAGCCACACGTCGCTGCTCTCCACCAGGGAACCATGGGCCACGACTTACTTGAAGAACCCCAAACAGCTGGCGTGCACGCTGGAAGACCCTCGCTGGCAGACGGCAGCGTGTAGCTGCGTGCACCTCCCGAGGCCCGCGTGCGCCGCCGACGAGCTCGCGAGAGCTGCGGCGACTTGCCAGAACCTGAAAGCGGGCGGCGCGCCATGTCAGGCGCCCTTGGACACGGCGGGCGTCCAAGCCGCCATCTACCAGCCTGGCGGTGGCGCCGTCAAGCGGCACGGCGGAACGGCGCGCCGCAGGCACCCTCGCTGGAAGGTGGAGCCACTGCACGCCGCTCTACGAGCAGTGGGTGCTCACCTGGGACAGGGCCCGCGCGCCGCGGCCAGGACAGACGCCGCCGACGGCAGGCGGCGGTTAGACGTGACCGTCCGCCACACAACTGCTGGCGACGAACCCGCCGTGCGCGCAGCGGCGGCGAGACGTTCTGGCGAGGTGGCGTGCTGGGCCGAGAGGTCCAGCGAGTGGCTCCAGGCGTTCGCCAGTGAGACTGGGGGCCGCCTCGGTGGCGAGGCGCGGGCCTGGCTCCTGAGCTACGTACGCATGGGAGCTGCCCAAGACGCGCAACCCGAGAAGCTGGCGCGGGCCTACCGGATGCTGAGCAGCGCCCTGCAGCGCGAGCTGGCGCAGCAGCTCCGGCGCGTTGCCGGGCTGCGCGCTAAGCGCGGGAGCCACCGCGAGGCGCTGGGGGGCGCTGGGCAACACTGGCAGGGCTCGCTGGGGCGCGGGGCGAAAGCGGCGGAGTCCGGAGGCGCTGGAGGGGAGGAGGGTTGGAGGAGGCCGCGCAGCGGCAGCAGCGCCACCGCGCCGCGGGGGCGCAGGCGCTGCTCTGGAGCGCCGTTGGGGCTGGCGGCGGCGGGCGGAAGAAGGCCGACCACGTCTTCCTCGCGATGTCGACCGCGCTGCCGCGTAGCGGAATCTATAGGCCCCGGCCGGCAAACCCTTCCCACCTGGATATGGCCGCCGTGTTACACGGCTGGCCACTTCCGTGCGGGAGGGGTCTGCCGACTCCCGATCAAAGAGCTGTGGCCGCAGGAGGAACCCGCGCGCGCCGCCAGAGGAGGAAACGACGACCGTAGGAAGAACAATTCGCTCCCCACTACCATGTGGAATCCCACGCCCACCCAGCAAATGATGGCGGGGCGGCGAGGCAGGTGGCCACGGAGGCCTCGGCCGCCACCGTGGACGGCACTTCCTGCGTCACGAACAGGTCCACGCACAAAACGTCGGCGTGGCGGGAAGCTGCAGTAGCAGTAATCTGAAAAGACGACGGCGAGCCAAAAGGGGAAAGGCGAGCAGCGGGAACAGCAACGGCGACGGGAAGAGGAAAGACTGAGCACATCTGATGCGGCCCCTCACGAACTGACGCCGATGTCACTGCCGAAATGTCCGAACACGAACCGGTTTGCGAACTTCCACAGGAAGACACTGGAGAGGGCCTCGCACACCTCGGGCTTTTCGAAAACACCCGTCGAAACGAGGACCACCTGGAAACCGCCGACTGGATGGGCTAGGGATCGGTTGCGCCTGAACCAGCACCGACATGCGACTGGTCGCAGACGCAGAGGTCCTCCAAAGGTCAAACACGCTTTGGGGTCACTAGCTCGGTGGGGGAGGTATACGGGCACAACGGCGTCGGCGTCGCAGGGTAGAGATCAACCAACACACGAACAGTACCCGAGCAAGGTTCAAGCACCAAACGCGGGGTCAGGCAAGGGCTGAAAAGGAGGGACGGGAGGAGACGGCACGATATCCAGCTCCACAGCCTCAGGCGCGGCCTCATAAAGGTCGCAGCATAAGGAGGAGGGGAAGGAGGAGGAAGAGGAGGAGGAGGAGGTGGAGAAGGACGAGAAGAAAGGATGAGAAGGAGGAGGAGGAGGAGGAGAAGAAGAACAATAATAATAACAAGAAGAACAAGGAGGCGAAGAAGGCACCGCGCGGGCCACTCATAAGGCATAGGGCATGAGTCGCGCGAAGCCCTTTTTTCCCAAGTGGCCAGGAGCTAACCTGCCCACAAAGCTGCTTCTAGAAGGGGGAAAAGGCGGAGGAGGAGGAGGAGGAGGAACAGGAGGAAGAGGAAGAGGAGGAGGAAGAGGAGGAGGAGGACAAGGACAAGGACAAGGAGGAGGAGAAGGAGAAGAGGAAGGAGAAGGAGGACGACAAGGAGAAGGACAAGGAGAAGGAGAAGGAGAAGGAGGAGGAGGAGGAGGAGGAGAAGGAGAAGGAGAAGGAGGAGGAGGAGGAGGAGGGGGAGGAGGAGAAGAAGGAAGATGAGGAGGAGGAGGAGGAGGAGGAGGAGGAGGAGGAGGAGGGGGTGCACGGGAGGAACGGGCGCAAGAGAGACCAACCCGGCAACGCTTCCTCGAGTTCACCCGCCCGAAGCGACCAGGCGACGAGTCACAACTTCCACTCTCCCCACACTAAGATGTGCGCGCGGGCATAGACTCTCGACGTCGGCGTTGCTCGCACAGGCGCGAGCGGGGAACACGAGGGTCTGGGGCCCCTCTGGGGCCCCAGATCTGGCCGGCCCCGGCGCGCTCCCCCACAACTCGCCGACCCCGGCACCCCCAGCATGGTGGAGCTCGACCGACATCTCGGCACGCGCCAATGTGCATAGAGGACCCTCTCGTTTTTTGTCGCGAGAGCACCCTCGTCTGCGGCGGTCCTGCTCCTGCTGGCGCCAGCACCGGCCGCAGCCCCGCCCGCGAACGCCCCAACAGAAGCGCCATCCCGCCCCCGACGGCGCTCGCGGCGGCCCTCGCTGGCACACGAGCCGCGGAGCCGCGACCCGGGCCCGCGAGCGCTCGACCGGCGCCGTGCCCCTGGTGCCGCTGACGCGCTTCGCAGAGGGCCCCCGAAGAGGGGCACCCGAAGAGAAGGAGGAGGAGGAGGAGGAGGTGGAAGAGGAGGAGGGAGGAGGGAGGGAGGAGGAGGGAGGAGGAAGGGAGGAGGGACCGGGAGGAGGAGGAGGAGGAGGAGGAGGAGGAGGAGGAGGAGGAGGAGGAGGGAGCTAGCCTCCCGTTGGGCCCCCGAAGAGGGGCACGAGGCGAGCGAGTGGTGTGCGCGAAGATGGGGCGGGCCGCCGCACGCGGCGCCCCAGGGCGCAGCAGGCCACACTGGCACAGCGCGTCCTCGTCGGAGGCGTGCGCCCGACCCGCACAGACGGCACAACCAGCTTGCAGTCAGCCCGCGTGCCTCTGGGCACGGAGTGCGCGGGCCTTCAGGTGCTTTCCCTAATCCTCCAAGCCTCAGCTCTCACTCCTCAGTCGAGTCTTTGGGGGACCAGGGAACCCGAGTTGCCAGATCTGCTGGGCCCTGGCGCGGCTTGGGGCGCGGCTCGTTGCTCGACCTTATCGGAGCCAATGGCGGGCCCCAAGACGGGCCAGGAGGTCTGGCTGTGGCGAATAGGTTGAAGGCCACTACATAAGATAGATCGTTTCCCGAGCGGTACTGTGGAGGCCAGTCCACAAGAAACCTTCCACAAGAAACCCAACCCTGAATACCCAGGACGTGCATTGATTTTTGGTGTGGGAATGTCGCATTTTCCAAAGCAGAACCATCGAAACCCAAGATACCCAGGGCACCCTGGAGGCAAGCAGGATTTCTTGACATGGGCCCCCGCTGTACATCGTTTCCCGAGCCGTACGGCCAGAAAGCGCCCGCCACGGAGCAGATGTTGTACGATGTCTCGGCGCGCGCGCGCCGCACCCCGCGGGGCGGCGCACACGTGATATATCAGTATGTTGGGGTGACGCCGAGGCGGTCCCACTGGGAATCCCACCAACTCTCTGGGCGCAGGTGGTCAAGAGCGTCTCATCTTCTAGGGTCCTCCCTTCCTCTCTTCGGAAAGGCTTAGGCTTTTACCCCCCCCTTCCCTGGGTCTGGACGGGGGGGGCCGCGAGGGCTTATGGAGAGCCAACGGCCCAAGAGGACCCCAAGAAGGCCCAGAAGAGCCCCACGCCCCTGTTCGAGGAGAGTCGCCTGGGCACCGTGGCCGGATGGGCCGGTGGGGATGCGTGCGGCGACAACCTTTCCGTGGAGCTCCCTCCAGCCCACCCAGCGGGGCCAGGCGGCAGCGCCGGGAGCCTCGAGGGCGACGGGCCGGCAGCGGCGGGCCCCAGGCAGGACAGCGGCGGCGGAGGCTGGCCCCGCGGGGCACGCCGGCACGGCTGGGCGAGAGCGGGCGGCAGCGCTGCGCGGCCGCGCACACCCCCCCTGCCGGCAGGAGGCAGCCCCCTCAGGGCTGCTCGCGGCACCGCGGCCAGAGGAAGAGCTCTCGCGGAGGTCCCCGAGCGGGCCTCCCAGAGCAGCTGTGCTCGCGCAGCTGTTGTCTCGTCTTCGGGCAGCGCACCGCGGGAAGGCGAGGCGGAGGCGTGGGAGGGGGGGGGGGGGGGGGGCCGCGCCGCGCGTTCGGCCAGGTGGGCATCCACAGGAGGGCGCCGCCCCCCTGGCGGAGGAGGGCGGACGGATCAGAGAGGAGCAAGGGGGGAGCAGGAGGGGAAGGGAGCGGGAGGCACAGCACTGCCGGATGCTCTGGTCGCGATGGGCGCCCACATCGCCTCGACCCAGGACTCCACCACCACACGGCGAGGTATGCGAGGCGGGGATTTATCCACATCCACCGCCTGGGAACCGACGTCCTGGTGCACAAGCGGGCGGTGGATATGGATATAAGATACCCACATGCACTGCCTGTGGAGGTCCGCGAAGATCGATCCCCCAGGCGGTGGTTATGGATAACCCCCCGCCTCGGAGAAGTAAGAGGAGGTGGGAATGAGCGAGAGCACCGTGTGTGGATTACAGACCCTGAGTGAACCTGCTCGAGCTCCTACTGCTCAGCATGCTGCTCCCTGCATTCGTTTGGGCATCATCACGCTCCTGCTCCTCATTCGCATTCGCCAACATATCACTACTACCAACTATCACTCATCATGGGGATCAGCAGCAGCATGATATCGTCGTCGTCTTCGTCGTCGCCATCAGCATCATCCTGCCGATGACCTATCGCATTGGTGTGCCTCCAGTCAGCGAGCCCAAGGGGGCGCCTGCTGGGCTAGCGCCCCTATCAGGGAGTGCGCCCAGTCAGGTTCATCGTGCTTCACGTGCCCTGTCCGCTCACCGTCTTGGCTTGGAGCCATATCAGCCAGAAGATAACATGACCATGGTCGTCGTCATTATCATCATTACCGTCATCATCACTACCGTCATCGTCATCGTCATCGTCACCATCATCGTCTCCATCACCGTCATCTGCCTCTGTCCCCTAGTGTCCTAACGGCCGCGATCGCCCATCGGCGTGGGCCACTGTGTGGCGCCGCGATTGGGTCGGTCTCTCGTCGTGCCTGCTTGCGCCACGCGCGACAGCTGCAAAGAGGCGCTGAATCATCATTATCATCATCATCATCATCATCATCATCATCAGCATCATCAGCATCATCATCATCATCACCACCACCACCATCATCATCATCATCATCATCATCATCGTCATCGTCATCGTCATCGCCATCATCATCATCATCACCACCATCATCATCATCATCATCAGCAGCAGCAGCAGCATCATCTTCATCTTCATCTTCATCATCATCATCATCATCATCATCATCATCATCATCATCGTCATCGTAAGCATCGGCATCATCGCCAGCATCATCATCACAACCACCACCACGACCATCAGCTTCTTCTTCTTCTTCAGCATACTCCTCCTCCTCTTCC